TGATCAAGCTATGTATGTGATTTTGACAAACACAATGAAAGTACTTACAGATGTTTGTGTATCAAGAGAGGAGGGAAGCCTTCACTTGTGTGTTTCTTCTGGAAGCTAAGCTGGAACTGAGCTGATGTGTGAATGAAACTTCCTGTTTCAGAAAATAGACTGCAAATGCAGAGAATGTCCAATAGATAACTCCCTACTCAACACAATGATGATATACAACATACAGATTGTTTCTCAAACCTTTTCAGTCAAGGCACCCTTTAAAATTATGGACAGTCCCGAGGCACCCTTTAAAACACACGGACAGCCTTGAGGCACCCCTTTCTAAAATGGGGTGCCTCAAGACTGTCCATAATTTTAAAAGGGAACCCCATTCTAAAATGTGAAGAACTATTCTAATAGTTTTATATAACGCAGCAACATCCACACATGTAGGACACCCAATATTAGAGGTGATTTATTCTTCCAAAGCAAATACACTTTTCACACTGTAACTGACTAGTATTCCTAGGTTTATCTTCTCCCTCAGTTTTTATCCATCACTGAGCTAATGTGACCCCAGCACTGATGGAGAGGGGGCTGGGGAGGGTCAAACTAGGATGATGTGCAGGCAGCTGACATCCTCCTTATCAGCTGATGATGTCATTGGTTGTCAGGACGCCGGCAGCTAGAAGGTTGTAATGGTGCACAATAAAAACCTGTGGCTTGTATACAGCTTTTGGGCAATTTTTAGACATTTTGCCAAGGCACCCCTGAAGAAACCTCAAGGCCAGGGCCGTGGATAAGGGGGTACCACCAGTCCTCCTGTACGGGGTCCAAGGCCAGCAGGGGGGCCCAGGAAGCTGGGTGAATCGGATGTGGGCAGGGAGGTTGATCAGCATGGTGGGGGGGGGGGCAATTACTGGAACCGATCTCCTGTACGGCACTATCTGCAGCAGCTGGTTTCTTCTCTTCTCCCTCCCGTTGGCTTTCAGCTGCTGCATACAGAACCATACAGGGGATCAATTCCAGTAATTACCCCGCACCGTACCCATCACCCTCCCTGTGCACCATATGTTTCCTCCTGCTGCTCAGGCACCCCAGTGTGCCCCCATCCCGGCAGTGATACTGGCTTCCTCTCCTTCCCACCGGAAGCTGCAAGCACACAGCAGGATCTTTCAGGATGGTGAGTGTGGGAAGGGTCCAATAAATATGTCACATTTACCTTCCTTTCCTGAATGAACACAATGAGTAATCAGGACCGACCACTTACTGTGTTCATTCATAATTAAACCATAGTAAGCTGTGTTTTTTTTTTGGAGGGAGTGGGGGCCCTGTGATTTTGGCTGTATAGAGCCCCATGGTTTCTAACAGCAGCCCTGCTCAAGGCACCCCAGGGTGCCTGGGCACCCTGGTTGAGAATGGCTGATACAGAACAATGACAGTCAATGTGCAATTGATCATTATCCAAGATAAATCAGTTTTCAAAAACTCTAAGCTCTCGTCATAAGTTTTTCCTGCCTTAGTGACCGATGGTTAAATGGCTATGAAAAAAGAAGAATATACGTCTGGGAGGACTTTAGGAACTCCGGAAAATATAAATGCATTAAAGCAGTCCAAGCATATTTTGGAGCCACCCAGTTACTGTAAGGAGTAGGAGTAGTTTGTTTCACCTTTAGACACTGCCACCAAACCTGAAACATACACCCTGGGAGAACGCACCACCTAAAACTATTTCTTAAACTACAACTACAGCTGCTTTCATAATGTACATTTAAAGTGGAGCTCCACCATTTTTTCATGTTCCTTGCAACACAAATGCTCATCCGCAAAACAGTCTATAATGGCAATTGTTTAATTTTTTTTCCCTCTAAATATCTTATTTTTCTATTGTAGTCTGCACTTCTGGTCCCGGCCTCCTAGGCGATTACGTCATTAGGCGATTCCCTAGGGGTCCTGGGATATCACCGTCATCTATCTCAGGAACCTTCAGATCGCACTTGCCTGTTCAGTGTTGATTGACAGGTTGCCATAACAATGGGGTGGGAACTTCTGCCGCTGCCGCCATTGTTATGGCAACCTGTAAGCAACACAGTGCGACGCGCTGTGTCCTTACTGCACAGGTGCAAAATCGGGAGGTGCATGCTGAGTAGCCAGCTGCACGGAATCCCAGAAGCAAGTAGGAGTGGGCTTCAGATGCCCACACTAGTAATGGCCGCTGCCTGTCTGCTGGGATCCTGCGTTGAATGTCATATTTCCAAGTAAGAAGAAGAAATACACTTATAACAGTATCCTTTTTATATTCTGCAACTAAAGAGAATCACAGGGGTGACTTTTGTAGAAAAATGCCAAGGTAACTGGAGCTCCGCTTTAACATTACAGATCTTCTAAGCTTTGTCAACACTCTATGGGAACTTTTTCATTTCACATTATGTAGTAGCAAACTAATAAATGCAGCATAGGAGCAGCTGTTTAATGCAGAATGCCCCCTAAAAGAAGCCTGTTTTTCAAGTAAGCATAGGATCTCTGGTCCTTGACCTGCTACTGGATTCCAATCCAAATTCCAGTATTAATGTAGGGAAGTTATGGTGCTCTCAATAATCCCTACCACACTGACAACACTGACCTAATAAAGAAGTTAATTATTTTCTTGCTGTGGTATTATATCAATTTTATCAATACATTTAGTAATCAAGTCTGGACAAGTTGGCAAACAAATTGGCAGTTCCTGCCAAACTCCAACATAGTAAACTAACAAGGTTTGCTGCAAGATCTGACATATGCAAATAAATTGACTAATTTCCAGTTAATATTTTTAAAGAAAACCAGCATAGGTATGTTTTCATACTGTAAGATCAAGGAAGATATCACTGTTTAATATTAAGGATATTATATACATATGGGACATTTTACATGAATCTATAAAGTCAATTTTACAAATAAATCACCTGTGAAAACCTTACATAGTGGTCAGCTCTTCAGGTTCTTGATACCCGGAAATGTCACCTTCCCATACTTACAACAGTATATTGGCCAAACTCCAACATAGTAAACTAACAAGGTTTGCTGCAAGATTTGACACATGCAAATAAATTGACTCATTTCCAGTTAGTATGTTGAAAGAAAACCAGCATAGGTATGTTTTCATACTGTAAGATCAAGGAAGATATCACTGTTTAATATTAAGCAAAGTATATACATATGGAACATTTTACATGAATCTACAAAGTAAATTTTACAAAATAGGCATCTTGTAGCATGTACACATTCCCCACTGTACACTATTTACATTATGTCAACATGAATCACAAATAAAATTAGGGCAATTCCTCTCTGTCACTATTTACAACATTATTTTTTAAATAAACATCCAGAAAGTGTTTTGTTTGTTTTTATATTGGCTATGTTATTGATTCATTCCTAAATTAAACCAAATCAAAACAAATCAAGCGATTCTGAGCCACAAGTAATGGAACTGGTAATGCTTTCCAAGAATCATGAATATGTTAAAGTCAGAATATCCATTTTATTTACCTTAACGCTGTACTCCATTTCCCCCCTTCCTTGATTTCTGCCTCTAACTTACCTTTGAAACACCTCCTACACAACCCCCCCAAACAATCTTTATACATATTTATTTTTCAATTGTCTTTATTCCAGTTGCATAAGGTCATTGGTCCTCTTGCTTCAGCAAGAGGCAGTTATTGAATGCTGCAGAGTGCAGAACCACCACATAATGATTTCTGCAGCATTCTCCTGTGAGAGAGGGGCACCTGATGATGTACCCCCAGAGAGTGGGTCCTTGATTCCCTAAGCTCACATGAAGTGGGTTCAGTGACACTATTCAGTATTGCAGAGCAGGTCATGCGTTGGGGGCCCTACCAGAGGAAAGGTGAATATTGCTGCAAGAGCTTTTTTTTTTATCAAGTGTTGGGAAATATTTTTTACATTTTGTTATGAAGCTGGAGTTGGGTTGTAATGTTAGCTCAATAGCATTTCCTACACCCAGAGTATACTTCAGGATAGGAACCTCTTTGTCAGCCTTTCTGAGTTGTCAAACCTTTTTCCTGTGAGTGACTGTGAATCATTTCCTTAAAATAACCTGAAGCATTCACAATTAAAATGGGGAAGAATGGGTGTGCTTATTTGATGAATGTATAGGATGTGTTTTTTTTACTTCTATTCATGATGTGGAGAACTCACAGAAAAAAACTCGACACAAAATATATACTATATACTTTTCATTTTTTATAGGAACTTATTGCATATAAATACTTCTGAGCTTTGTTTCCAGCCAGCAAATGGAAATCTAGGCTCCTTTTATTATCAAGTTTATTTTACCCAGCATCCTAAAAATCTTGTTGTTTGTACAGCCTAAGAGTTCCAGCGAAATGAATACACATGGCTTAATGACTCAGAGGAGTGACTTGTTGCACCCTTCTTCTCCTACTCCCTTGCTTTTTTAATAAAGATTCAGTTATATTGAGAATAGTCTTAAAGCAAACAGCTTCTGCTCCACAAGTCATGGATACATTTTGTATTCATTTAATTTTGAAATGAATGTTAATTATAGATATTTAAAAAAGAAATAAAACATTGGCAAAATGCTAAATTTAAAAAGGACCAAAATTAATGTAGTTCCCCTTTAAATTTATGCAGAGCAGTATATGAAATAAATACTATTTAAAAAGATAAATATTTTATGGCATTAATAAATGGCTAAATTCATATACAATATTAAAAAGGGTGATCTGAAATTTTAAATTCTACCTCGAAATGTAAAATAACCACCTAATCCTTTACCACTTTAACTGCAGATGCCCGGATTGTTTTTCAGTTGTTAGCAATGTAACAGGTACCGTACATTAGTTTATTTTGGGGCCATCAGGGTTTCAGTTTCTGTGTCCTCTTAAACAGCCTCAGTTCACTTCCTTATATCTCCCGTGTCCATATTTTTGGCGGAGAAACTTCACATTTGTATCAGTGTCTTTATTTTCACATGTGAAAACATTACATAGTGGTCAGCACTTCAGGTTCTTGATACCCGGCAATGTCACCTTCCCATACTTGTGAATGGTGTCCATATTTCCCTGGTTAAGTTTCATCACTAAATTCTTCTCGTACATTAGAGGATGGTATCCCCCAACTGTGCAAGCACGGTCATAGAACCTATCATAATAGTAGCACAGGTCACTTTGTCGAATGGATGGCAGAAACTCGTAAACATTGACTTCATCGCAGAGGTTCATCATTAGCAATATTCCTGAGAAAAGATACCTAGTTAGTAACAGTCCTAATTGCTCACCAAATAACTCAGATGTGCTTTACCATTCCTTGTCTGCCTATAGCATTTTTCAGCTAAACAACATAAAATGGGCTGGGATCTTCCTACTTGTTTGCATTGGTAAGAAATCTATGGTTGACTCTATAAATGAAAGCACTCCCTTGCAGCTCCTGAATCAAGGAATGGAAGCCCTGTGTAAGCTCTGTGTAGTTCTAGTCAAAGCTTACACAGGGCTAAGGGCTATCTCCCTGCTCCAATGTGCCAGAGCTGGGCCAATCATCTAAGCACCAGTGCTGTCACATGACAGGAAGAGGAGTAAGTCATATGCTTCACAATACCCGGAAGTATCAGAGCTAATTCACACATGTGCAGTGCGGATTGAAGCTCAGGTTTCACAGCTAATTGATGCAGTAGTTGATCAGCGGTTCATGTCAGGTTTACATCGGGTTCAGGACAGGATTAAGTCAGGATCTTATCCTGTTCACACATAAGCAGTTTAGAAACGATTCCCAAAGAAGTTAATAGCCTGTAATCCACACCTGAACCTGATGGCACTGCTCAGAAATCGTACATGACTCTGTCACGTACCTGATGGGAGACTGCAATGACGAGGTCGGCCTCACTTGTGTCACTAGCCCTGACCCCACTGGAGTTGGAACAGAGGGAGTCTAGGACCCAGGGGAACAAGAGCGCCAGTAGTTGTTGTTTGCAGCACTTGCAGATGATGACCTTGGAAGACCGATGATCTTCTGATTCAGGCACAGTAGTAACAAGCAGAGCGGGTCTTGTAGATTGCCAGGCGTGCACCAGAGCAAGGCAGGTAGTGAGGGTAAGAGACAGGAGCAGTGTCATGGGAATAGCCAGGGTCTTCAACAGTCGGGCAGCACGGTACAGAATCAGAAGGAAAGCCAAGGTCAGGAGCAGAGCCGAAGTCAGGAACCAGTATCAATCAGGAGAGCAATCAGAGTCAGGTGAGGAAGAAGCCGGGTCAGCAACAAAGGAATCACACAGAAACAAGCAGGACACGGGGGAGCTGAAGACCAGTCAGCACTTAACATGGACAGAGACACTCTTTAAATAGACAGTATGGCGCCAATCTTTGCCGTGCGTGTGCACATACGCGTGCGTGTGCGCGATCGCGCATTTCTGCGCGCATGCGCACAACCAGTAATTCTTCTCCGGGAATTCCTATGCGCATGTGCATTTCCGATTGCGATACATCTTGCTGGAAATCCCTTACAGACTCTTTTGCAAACTGCACTGAATCCGCACTGCCAGTGCACCGGACATATGTGAGCAGGCACCATAGGAAGCAATGTTTATTGACATGTCATGTGGATTGGATGCGGGTCAAACCTTTTCCAGTGAATTCTGCCTCAGCTTAGCGAATGTGATGAAAAAAATCACTTTGCAAAGAATACCCAATCAGGTGCAGGTAATAAAAAAAATCTTTAATTTTGTCTGCACATGATTGGATGATAGAAGTCAGCTTTACTTCATTCACTAAGCTAAAGGAAAATTCCCTTGCAAAATGAACGGACTAATATCCTTAATGTGTGCAACTTCTATCTGCTAACAATGCTAACATAAAAGTTGTGTGTTTTCTGGAGCTCTCACAGTTCAGTAAATTAAGTGAAACTATTTTCTTACAGAGAGTGCAATGGATCTGGTCTGGATTCTAAGGGCCGGTTCACACTGTGCCTGCACATGAATCGCACAGGAACGCACTGTGCGTTCGGCGAGTGACAGAAACACTCGCCGATTGACAGGTAAACATGGGAGTGAGGTCACCCGGTGACATCACTGGGAGACCCTGCCCCCATGTTTACCTGTCATTCGGCAAGGGACAGGACCGGCCATGTTTTTTTGTGCTTTTTTCGTGTTAGTTGGCATTGTTGGATCTACTTTAGGGGACATTTATTTATTTGTTTATTTATTTATTTTTAATAAAGGAGTTGTCAAATCAGCTGCATACTTGGATAAGGGACTGGTATGGATTTTGGGGAGACCCCAGGCCATTTTATTTTATTATTTTGGCTTGGGGTTCCCTCTCAAAATCCAAAGGGCCTGGTATGGATTAAGGGGAGAACCCCACACTGTTTTTTTTTTTTTTAAAAGAATTTAACCAGCACTTTTTTTTTGCTGAAAGTGGGAAATCCTGCACATGAATAAAGCAATATAAGGAAACTCTTTTCCAGTTACCACAAATTTAATGGGCAGTTCTGCACTGGCCACTAGTGTAAGGGAACCCTATAATTTTTCACAGGTTATGTACTTTTCTGGTCATTTTTTTTTTATTTCATTCCATGAATATACAAGCATTTCTGTATCATGCACCATCCAGTGGATTCTGCCTAAGAGCACATGAAGAAGTCTGTTAGGAAGCCAAGATGAGCAAATCTGTATTGGTATCAAGAGGTCCAAAGAAACAGCGCTGAATGACATAGGCTTGTTATAGAATGACCAAGCAATTGGTTGCAATAAAAGATAATAGACTTATTCCAGTATAATAAAAAAAGAACAGTATTGTCATCCAATATCAAACCAGCAGTGTCAATTTCCAAATTTGAGGTCATGGTGGAATATACGCTCACCTTTGGCTGCAGAAGAACCCCGAACCAGGAATGGAGATGTGTGCAGAGCTAATCCCTTGACAGGTAGAAGCAGGCTGACAGGAACGGGGACCACGGCGCCCCAGAACTGACATCACGGCCACTGGGAATCAGGCTGAACTGCAAGCGTTCCAGTTGCCATGACAACAAATTTCACACACAAGCGCTTTGTCAAGTCCTATTGAGGGACTGATTGATTGGGAAATTGACACTGCTGATTTGATATTGGATGACAATACTGCTCTTTTTATTATACTGGAATAAATGTATTATCTTTTATTGGAACCAATTGCTTGGTGATTCTATAACAAGCCTATGCCGTTGAGCACTGTTTCTTTGGACCTCTTTCATCACTATTTCAAGTGTGACATTGCAGCTGAGGATTGTTTGGCTTTCAATAGCTTTGGGGATTTAGCATTTGGAATTCTCGGTCACTATTGGTATCTAGGAAAACTTTCCCTGCCTGGGTCTTGGACAGTAATCAAGTGTAATGAGGTATTGGACCCTGCTCCACTGTACAACTCATCTGGGGTGTAATGGCACAGTGAATTGGTAGCTATCTAAAAGAGATTGGTAGTATTTAGATACCGTTCTATATTGTTTAAATCAGTAAATAGCCTCATGCTCATGCAATGTACCTACCCAGTGACCCTGAAGATGGTGGATCTGGTTGAATGTTCTCTGGTGCGTTCTCCTGTACTATATCCCACAACTTCCAGCTAGTTTTTGGATTCAGGATGTAAAATGTCTGATTAGGGTTCCGCTTGCAATAGTGTCTGTAGTGGTCAAAGAATTGATATTCTGGTTTCTCATACCACTAAGTAAAGAAATTATAGAAACAGAACATGAGACAGAGTGTTTCAAATCAACAGAAACCAGAATATACTGTTACATTTACACCTAGTTAGATCATACAATAGCTTTTGTAAACCCCGCAGGGGCCACTGGTTATTCCCCAATAGTGTAGAGGCTGCCAGTCACCTAAGCAACGATCCACTCACTCCAGTAAGCAGTCTAGGTGTTGTCTTTTTAGACATTATTGCTTGTATAACTTCAAATAAGAGAGGTGTTGGGGCATGAGATACTTCATATGTTTATAAACAGTATTAGAGCACACGCTCTTCTTTTTATGGATATGGGGCAGTCTAAGGACTCACAACTGGGGAACATGAGGCAAGTCTCTTTAGCACCTAACTACTGGTAACAAACTCAGTTTTTAGGGTCCTACACAGTCAAAGGGAGTCAGTTGGGGTTTGTTACTCTCTAAGCCCCAGGACAGCTACTTTATTTAACCTTACTCCGGAAATGGTCCAGTGATTGAGACTCTCCTTCTCCAGACCCGATCCTATCCCGTTGCAGAGAAATCCCACATTCAACCTAAGATTATTCCTAGAGGTCTCCAGCCCTGCCACAGTTCAGACCCTGTAGAACAGCAACTCAGTGCACAAGAGGCTCCACAGAGGCCCCCTAAAGCTCTTGGAACTTTCCCTGATGGGAAAAAGATCAGTCTCCTCAGGGTTCCAGACTATTTACCACCTCCTGGGCCCACCTCTGCAGGGGCTGGCCAGGGCATGATAAACATTCAGACTAGTTGTTTGAATTTCCCACCCTAAGCTCTGGAAGCTTCTTCCAGAGGTAGGGGGAAGCAATCAATCTCCCAACCTGTGAAACCCTGAACAGACCAGAGCGATTGATCACTGCCTCTGTGATTACAGAAGGAGACAAAAACTAGATTTCTCTAGCATTCTACACTATGAGGGTGCTACATAATAATACAGACAAAGTGAAATTCAGATCCTGCTGAACTGACAGTTTTTGGTCTGTGTACACCCTTCATAAGCTTGTCCCACATACAAGAGACCTCATGGACATTTGCTCATATAGACCACATTTTCATTTAAAAAATATTGTGACCTTTGATGGGAATTTTACAGCTCCAGCCTGGACTACCCTCCACAATAATGATAAGCAATTTAGGAAGTTCTCACTTGGGAAGGTTCATTACAAGGCGCAAAGAGGAGCTTATGGATGTAGCGCCCTCCTAGTTAGCTAGGGGGAGCTCTAGTTTCAATTGTTAGACAGGGGCTGAGCAGCAGCCCAGGTGCAATAGTCAGAAGATCAAAATTGGGTTAGAAATGAAAGGCTCTGCAGACCAGCCCTCTGGAAATTCCCCACTTCCTTGAAGAAAGGTCTAGAAGCAGTGGGTGAATCTGAGGAGTGGCTGGCCTGAACTCTTAAAGGATCCTGGCCAATCCTCAACCAGAGGCTTGAAGAAGGGCTGGGACAACCTTTAAGAGTCATTGAGTCTGCTCAGGTGGAAGAGAGAGCTCGGGTGGAGGACAGAGATGAATATGTGAGGCTGAAGGCAGGCGCCTGGGAGGGGAATCAGATGGATAGAAGGACTCACCTATAGGCAGTGGAGCTGGGAAGGTGGAAAACTTGGGAGTTCACCAGCCCCCTGAGAGAGGACCACCTGTGTGGCAGGGAAGGAGCAGGCCAGCTAGAAGGCCTGGTAGCAGCCACCATCCCACCAGCTACACAGGGGAAAGATTGAGTGAGTAGACCTGCACCTCCTGGGCCAGATATGGGAAGGAGCACTCTGGTGGGAAACCAGATTTGCCACCTATTGGACTGTCTAATCCTTTAAAGGGACAGGCACTGGATCCCCTGCTCAGGGATACTTCCAGATAGCTGGGTAGAGGAAGAGGAGTCTATCTAGGGTCCAGGATGGTACACTAGAAGATGCTGGTTAGCTCTCCAACAGAGACTATGTTGCAGTGGAGGCTTGTAAATAGTTCAAGGAAGTTGTCCTCAGTCAGTTTCTTTTTGGGCATCCTGTATACTTTGCAACTTCTAAGGGGGTAGTGCTACATGGATAGGGGGTAGTGCTACATGGATATACAGTTGCAAGAAAAAGTATGTGAACCCCTTGGGATTACGTGGAGTTTTGCATGAATTGGGCATAAAATGTGCTCTGAAACGTCATCTAAGTCACAACAATAGAAGAACACAGTCTGCTGAACATAATACTACACAAACATTAGATGTTGCCATGGTTTAATTGCACATATCATATAAACATTCACAATGCAGGGAGGAAAAAGTATGTGAACCTTTGGACTTAATAACTGGTTGACCCTCCTTTGGCAGCAATAACCTCAACCAAACGTTTCCTGCAGTTGCAGATCAGACCTGCACAATGATCTGGAGTAATTTTGGACCACTCTTCACAAAAACTGTTTCAGTGTAGCAATATTCTTGGGATGTCTGGTGTGAATCGCTCTCTTAAGGTCATGCCACAGCATTTCAATCGGGTTGAGGTCAGGACTCTGACTGGGCCACTCCAGAAGGCGTATTCTGTGCTGTTGCAGCCATTGTTTTGTTGAATTACTTGTATGCTTTGGGTCATTGTCCTGTTGCATCACCCATCCTCTGCGGAGCTTCAGTTGGCGGACAGATGGTCGTACGTTTTCCTGCAAAATGTCTTGATAAACTCTGGAATTCATTTTCCCATCAATGACAACAATCCGTCCAGGCCCTGAGGCAGCAAAGCAGCCCCAAACCATGATGCTCCCTCCGCCATGTTTTACAGTGGGGATGAGGTTTTGATGTTGGTGTGCTGTGCCTTTTTTTCTCCACACCTATTGTTGTGTGTTCTTCCCAAACAACTCAATCTTGGTTTCATCTGTCCACAGTATATTTTGCCAGTAGTGCTGTGGAACATCCAGGTGCTCTTTTGCAAACTTCAAAAAGTGCTGCAATATTCTTTTTGGACAGCAATGGCTTCCTCCGTGGTATTCTCCCATGTACTCCATTCTTGTTTAATGTTTTCCTTATTGTAGATGTGTCAACAAAAATGTTAGCATGTGCCAGAGATTTCTGTAGATCTTTAGCTGACACTCTGGGATTCTTCTTTACCTCATGCATCATTCTGTGCTGTGCTCTTGCAGTCATTTTTACAGACGACCACGCCTAGGGAGAGTAGCAACAGTGCTAAACTTTCTCCATTTGTAGACAGTCTGTCTTACCGTGGACACATGAACATCAAGGCTTTTGGAGATACTTTTGTAACCCTTTCCAGCTTCATGCAAGTCAACAATTCTTGATCGTAGGTCTTCTGAGAGCTCTTTACTGCGAGGCATGGTTCACATCAGACAGTACTTCTTGAAACCAGTAAACCCAAAACAGGTGTGTGTTTTTTTAAGGGCAGGACAGCTGTCAGCAACACATCCAATATCATCACACTGATTGGAGTCAAGGTTGGCTCACTCCTGGCTCCAATTAGCTCTGAGAGAAGTCATGAAGCTAGGGCCTCACATACTTTTTCCTCCCTGCACTGTGAATGTTTACATGTTATGTGCAATTAAACCATGGCAACGTCTAATGTTTGTGTAGTATTATGTTCAGCAGACTGTGTTCTTCTATTGTTGTGACTTAGATGACGTTCAGAGCACATTTTATGCCCAATTCATGCAAAACTCCACTGACTCTGCTGACTTGCTGACTCTGAGTGCAAGTCTGTGGAAAGATGTGTGCTGCCTAGCTGTGCAGAACTATAGGGGGTAGAGCAATATAAGATTTCTATTCCTGTTTTGGTGACAACTCAAATTTGGGATTTTCTTTCACTTCAGCTTTTGATGATAATGGTTAACAAGACAAATATAGGGTGCATCTCCCTAATAGGCACACAGACAGTAATAAAAGTCTGGCAGGTGTTCTAATCTCTCTGCAATCTATCAAAAACTAAAAAAAAGTTCTGCCTTTAGTTATGCTTTATTTCATCGCTAGGGGACCCTTTACTATATTCAACTGCACGTACAAGAAAGGTAAGTGTTTGGGATGGAACTCCAAATTAAATCTATTTGCTGTATGCTTGCTATTAAGGACACACACTTTTGATTCCCCCCTTGAAGAAGAAATCCCTAAATAGAGGAAGACAGCACAGTTTGTACAAATATGCAGATGTATATCTGTGTGCAAACACCGGCTCTTTACTCTTTAACCTGCATGACCTCACACCAACAGTTTCTCACCTGATGTACATCTGCGTCATATGGAGCGGGATCCCAAATAACCAATATTCCTTTTTTATAAAGGGGATCATTCAGGAATTTATAACTGGGATGAGTAGGAATCTGCAAATATTTTGAAGAGTTAGCAAAGTGGAAATAATTACAGCACATTCATGCCATTAGAAAAACAATTGTTCTCATACTGTAGTTCTATCCTGCAAGGTCATTTTTGTGTTTTTACTCAGAATAGAAATTGCGAGTTTCATAATTTTAGCATATACGTATATTGAAACCTTCACTTCTCATTAATATTTTGTAACCACAGTTTAGACCAAGAGGCCTGGGCAGATGATCAAGCAGCTGATGGGAAAAGTGGTCAAAGTTAAATGCAGCTAAATGCATGACCAAGCAGGGGGTTAAAAAGCAAGGCTTGGATTCCACATTTGTTAGAAGCCATCTTACCCACAGTGAAAGATTACATTTTTATCTTACAGTAAGCATTAAAGTTTACTACTTACATTAATTATAGAAGACCTCCACTATGCGCTAATAGTAACAAAATTACCACTTAGTCCCATTATAATTTCAAATCAGTGAAATTTATTATTAGCACTTAAAAACTGCTTGATGCAATAATGTTTTCAACAAAACACAAAGTCATTTTAAAATTCAACTGGTATAATACCTACTTTTGTATCTACAGTCATGGCCGAAATTGTTGGCACCCTTGATATTTCTCCAGGAAATCATGTATTTCTCACGAAACGTATTGCATTAACACATGTTTTGCTATACACATGTTTATTCCCTTTGTGTGTGTATTGGGACAAAACAAAAAAAGGGAGGAAAGAAAGCAAATTCGACATAATGTCACACAAACCTCCAAAAATGGGCTGGACAAAAGTATTGGCACCCTTTCACAACTGCGGATAAATAAGAATGTTACAAGCATGTGATGCTCCTGTAAACTCACCTGGGGCAAGTAACAGGTTGTGTGGCAATATAGAAATCACACCTGAAAGCAGATAAAAAGGAGAGACGTTCACTTAACCTTTGCATTGTGTGTCTGTCTGTGCCACACTAAGCATGGACAACAGAAAGAGGAGACGAGAACTGTCTGAGGACCTGAGAACCAAAAATTGTGGCAAAATATCAACAATCTCAAGGTTACAAGTCCATCTCCAGAGAACTAGATTTGCCTTTGTCCACAGTGCGCAACATTATCAAGAAGTTTTGCAACCCATGGCACTGTAGCTAATCTCCCTGGTCGTGGACGGATGAGGAAAATTGATGAAAGATTGCAACGCAGAATAGTCCGGATGGTGGATAAGCAGCCCCAAACATGTTCCAAAGACATTCAAGCTGTCCTGCAGGCTCAGGGAGCATCAGTGTCAGCGCGAACTATCCGTCGACATTTAAATGAAATGAAACGCTATGGCAGGAGACCCAGGAGGACCCCACTGCTGACACAGAGACATAAAAAAGCAAGACTACAGTTTGCCAAAATGTACTTGAGTAAGCCAAAAGCCTTCTGGGAAAACGTCTTGTGGACAGATGAGACCAAGATAGAGCTTTTCGGTAAAGCACATCATTCTACTGTTTACCGAAAACGGAATGAGGCCTACAAAGAACAAAACACAGTACCTACGGTAAAATATGGTGGAGGTTCAATGATGTTTTGGGGTTGTTTTGCTGCCTCTGGCACTGGGTGCCTTGACTGTGTGCAAGGCATCATGAAATCTGAGGATTACCAAAGGATTTTGGGTCGCACTGTAGGGCCCAGTGTCAGAAAGCTGGGTTTGCGTCCAAGATCCTGGGTCTTCTTCCAGCAGGACAATGACCCCAAACATACGTCAAAAAGCACTCAGAAATGGATGGCAAAGAAGCGCTGGAGAGTTCTGAAGTGGCCAGCAATGAGCCCAGATCTAAATCCCATTGAACACCTGTGGAGAGATCTTAAAATTGCTGTTGGGAAAAGGTGTCCTTCCAATAAGAGAGACCTGGAGCTGTTTGCAAAGGAAGAGTGGTCCAAAATTCCGGGTGAGAGGTGTCAGAAGCTTATTGATGGTTATAGGAAGCGACTGATTTCAGTTATGTTTTCCAAAGGGTGTGCAACCAAATATTAAGTTAAGGGTGCCAATACTTTTGTCCAGCCCATTTTTGGGGTTTTGTGTGACATTATGTCATATTTGCTTTTCTGCCTCTGTTTTATATTTGTTCCAATACATACAAAGGGAATAAACATGTGTATAGCAAAACATGTGTTAATGCAATACCTTTTTTGTGTGAAATACTTGATTTTCAGGAAAAATATCAAGGGTGCCAACAATTTCGGCCATGACTGTATACATCAAAACTTAGACAGAGAAGCAGGGCCAGCAGTGGCAGCCAACCATTACACTGCACCAGGCTCTCAGTCTAACACAGGGAGCATGTGTACTGAAGGAGAGAACAGAAATGTCCTCATCAGTGTGCTTGTGCTCTTTTGCTGCTCAGTCAGCAAGCTAGGGCAGAGAATTACACCATTTGATTCCTAAAGCTAGCCACAGATGGATCGAAATTTGACTGGTTTAGCAGGGAATATCAACCCATCTATGGCCCTTCCCACTCGCTACAAACAGAAATGTTTTTAAAATGTGGAGCTGTTCCCGCTATCAGAATACAATACTAGAGTACAGTGGTGAGGATTTCTCAATTCAAATCACTTGTGTGGGGGAATCAGTTAATTTTTTTTGATCAGCCTACTGGCTGATCGAAAAAAATCCCCATAAACGTCCAGCCTTAAAGTGGTAGTAAACTGCACCAAAAAAAAAAAAAATTAGCCCCTGGGTGATTTAAATCATAATGTGCTAGTATGCTCCGCATACTAGCACATTATGATAGACTTACAGCACCTGAACACAAAGCCCTCCAGCAGAGCACTGTCACAGGTCATGGCGCTTCTATAGGCTTACCTATAGGTAAAAATCAACCCAGTGAGTTTACTAACACTTTCAAGTCAGAAAAAGAGAGTCACCCGCTTAGCTATGCTGCTTGGCAAGAGTACTTGGATCATAAGGCTGGCTGAACAATTTTAGAAATATTACAGCAGAATCACGTCTATACATTGCAATCAGGGACTAGCTGCTGGCTAGAATTTAGCTTTAATCAATGTGAGTCACCAAAATTAAAGTGAAGGTTTACATTGCAAGTTAACAGGTTTACACTTTGCAAGATGGGCCATATGTTGGCTGTGGCTTTCCTGCACATCCCTATTACCAACTTGCCTGGTCCAAAATTCCTGTGTAAGTATCAACTTGCACATCATTTGGTCAGCTCACCTAACTTAGCATTTTGTGCCTAGTGATTTGCCAATTGGGCACCAAGTTCTGCATTTTTGATCTATGTTCCCTTATACCAAGGATGTTTCTTTAGTGGTCTGGTAGGGAGGGAGTACAAGGAAGGTAGGAATTGGCTACCTATGATCCCTCCTATAAAGCTTTCCGTATACTAGGCAAAGTACAAACTCATTAAAAAAAATAAAATTCTTGAAATACATATACAATGTGTGTAAAACTATGTATGTTGTATGTTCTTTGCTGTGTTTCCGTTATCCACAGAGAAATATTGCAGAAAAAGTAACAATCTAAAAATGGTTACAAGAAAATAGAGACTCTACCTCATACCTGCAAGCAGTTACATCTGTGAACAGAGCCCTTTTACCTGGGGCATTTGAGTGGTACTGTTTCTTTTTGGTTTAATCTACAAATGGTATTCATGTTGAAAAAAGACTTGGTTTAACTGAAATCAGATTTAAAAAGAAGAAGTCATTCATGGTCTATACTCTAGCTCAGGCTTTCTTAACTGGGGGTATCTCTAACTTGGGGGTATGGGATCCAAATAATGGGGCTATGGGGATGGATTGCTAGTTAAATTGTTGTATATTGGATTATTGGCTGTCAACGTTATCAATACAGTTTGAGGTGGCAAGGCTATTAACCAACCAGCAATCAAATCACTTAATACAGGCGTCTTTGTAATTTCCAGCTGCTAGTTGATTCCATTCCAAAAATCGTATTCGTTGTAGTTAGCTTGTGTATTTTGGATTTTCTGTTTTTATACAAAAATTATAAAATTCATATTTTACCTATTCAGTTCTTAGCTATCCATATGTAAAGTAAAACCAACTTATTCACATCTTTGGAAGTAAAAAATGGTACCTAATAGAGATGGTGATGTTAATTTTTACAAACTTGCAAAAGGGGCAAGGGGACATATTGGGCAATTAATTGGGGTTGTTTAGTTGTAAAAGGGTCAGACTATGAATATTAAACAGATTTAAAAAACTCTTTTATGTTGTCCTTTTTGTGTAGCACATACAGCAAAGCTGTGCTTTAAAAAAAATGAAAACACAAAAGATCCAAATGCCTTCCTCATGAATACTAACAGGATAGGGACACTATCAATGTGTCAGTATCTATGTACAAACATACATGTAATATAAAAAAAAAATATAAAAATATATATATATATATATTTATATATATACACACACTGTATATTATATAAAAAAAATCCATCTGATTCATAGGAAGGGTACCTGCCTTGAGAGTTGTTCAAAAATTAATAAAGGTTTGCTCTTCTATATACCTGTGAATTTATCAGTCGAATTGTAGTTTTTGATCCAACATCAATCTCAAATCCATTTGTGGGTGCCTTGTTGAACCTTAGAACAGCATCATGGGAGTCTGCACACACAACACACAAAAAACAAGATTAGTAGATCCATACAACAGCTCTATATTAGACCAATAATACGTAAAACCTTCTGCGCTTTAAATGGGTGACCTACACAAAGCTGCTATCACCTAACCTGACTTCTATAGGTAAATGGCAGTAATAGAATAAATGGTGAAGCGCTACTAACAGCAGATAGTAAAAATAAATGGTGTTCTGGGTAATAGTAACATTTAGGAAGCACACATGAAAAAGTGTTAGGCCATGTGGTTAAAATATAAGCACAGACAACCTCCATAGTGCAATAACAATTAATAGGCAAAATCAAGCAATAAAGTAAAATAAGCCCACTCACATTTGATTCAAGTAAAAAACGCTTTCACACCACATAATAAGGGTGTACTGCATGGGACTGTAAGGAATTCCAATATGGCATCCAACCGGAAGTGCGTCTCCGGAAGTGCGTACCGACGCATTGCGTCACGGTGACACATGACTTCATCAGGCTATACTTTAACCACATGGCCCTGATGGGAATCAGACCTGTGAGTGATATTAAAAGGAGCTTAAGCAGCATCTTTATCAGAACGAGTTCCATTTCCAGGGATCGTGGTGTGATTCTTAAGGCGAGTTGGCCCTTGTGGTCAATGCTTGGAGGTGAGGGGGCACTTCTGCCATTTGTAGGATTCTTTTCACCCGAGTGAAGACCACCTTATCATGAGCACCAGTGTGTTTGGATTAGAAGTCAATAGTCTTATATATTTGTGGACTTTTTTATTGATCTATATATATGCATATATGTCTGTTGGACTTCCATTTATCCACTATTGACACTGTTTGCTGTGATCTGCATCTTATACCCTACCTAAGGGGTCACCCATTTAACACTTCAAGTCCCCTTAGTGGACAGGGGGGGGTTGTTTTTTTTTCCTGTCAGGGAAAAGGGGGTCCACTTTCTTTGTTGCAGTATATTACCTGTCAACTTCACTGTGTTTGCACTTTATAAGATCCAATTGGATCAGAACACTGAGTGAAACACTGTACTGTTTTTCATCACCTCATATTGTACTGATTAACACTTTTTCATGTGTTCTTCCTAAATGTTACTATTACCCAAAACATCATTTATTTTTACGATCTGCTGTTAGTAGCGCTTCACCATTTATTCTATTTCTATATTAGACCAGTAGCAACCAGGAGAACTGAATTGTCTGTCTAGATGGAGAGGGTAAGGTACTATACTCATCCTCAGTGCTGTTCTGGATCTGCTATCTCAAAGTTCTCCATAATGCATCTTCTTAAGAATGTATTTTTAGGAATAAAATCACTGAGGGGTGCAATACTATATCATACTGGATTCCCCATGGGGACATATAAAGCTCTCTCTGGCTGATGACACAAGTACTTTCATTGGTGGTATTAGAATATTATTGTGGTAGGAAAGTCCCAGACACCAGTAAAGACCAAGTGAGGGAACTTTACCTTACCTGAACCAAAATGGATTTTACCTACCTCAGCTTTCTCACCTGTACTCCTTATGAAACAGAAAAAGGTTTATATTTCAGCTATGGGCCTGTTGATATGAGTCTGTGTCATTTGATATGACACAGTAGTAATACATATAAACACTAAGAACAACACAAAGAACATTTGACCAGAAGGGGAAATAATGTGAGGAAGACCTCTGCACCATGAACAGCCCATGCAGATTTCTGTGTGAACTGCTGAACGAATGGGTGTTTGGCCAAAAGAACCTCCAGCTGCAGTGTAAAGTGAAACATTCAACAGTGTATTACTACCACCTCTAAATGTGACAGCAAAGCTCAGGGATCCTTGGTGGTAGGGGACTGGCATGAGCAGGTGTCCTAATAGCTATTGATTAATTCCCTCCTGGCAAATTTAGCTGTCAACTGGGAATTCCCAGCTGACAGGTGAGTATAAAACAAGTAGGGTGAATAGTGTATAAAAAACAGCTTGGGGGTCTCCCGTAAGATTCAGAGCAGGCCCTTCAGGTTTGAAATGGATTTTAAGATGAATCTAACTCAAGAAAAAAAAGCATGATTTCTCCTCAAATTCGATACAAGACCCTTATCTGAGCATGCAACCTGTATTATTTTTGCTTTCACTGATGTCATGTACAGATCAATTGACACCCCTTTGATTATGATAGAATGTGATCAAAGAACAATGGTAAATATTTTTTAACAATAATATTGTTACAATAGGATTATTAATGATGCCCGCAAACACTGTTGGCAGACATTAATAATATAGGATCCGCCTCAGTGGTCACAATGCCCTAGAAACATATACAGTTGCAAGAAAAAGTATGTGAACCCCTTGGGATTACGTGGAGTTTTGCATGAATTGGCATAAAATGTGCTCTGAACATCATCTAAGTCACAACAAAAGAAGAACACAGTCTGCTGAACATAATACTACACAAACATTAGATGTTGCCATGGTTTAATTGCACATAACATGTAAACATTCACAGTGCAGGGAGGAAAAAGTATGTGAGGCCCTAGCTTAATGACTTCCCCAGAGCTAATTGGAGCCAGGAGTGAGCCAACGTTGACTCCAATCAGTGTGATGATATTGGATGTGTTGCTGACAGCTGTCCTGCCCTTAAAAAAACACACACCTGTTTTGGGTTTACTGGTTTCAAGAAGCACTGTCTGATGTGAACCATGCCTCGCAGAAAAGAGCTCTCAGAAGACCTACCATCAAGAATTGTTGACTTGCATGAAGCTGGAAAGGGTTACAAAAGTATCTCCAAAAGCCTTGATGTTCATGTGTCCACGGTAAGACAGACTGTCTACAAATGGAGAAAGTTAAGCACTGTTGCTACTCTCCCTAGGCGTAGTCGTCCTGTAAAAATGACTGCAAAAGCACAGCGCAGAATGCTGCATGAGGTAAAGAACAATCCCAGAGTGTCAGCTAAAGACCTACAGAAATCTCTGGCACAGGCTAACATTTTTGTTGACACATCTACAATAAGGAAAACATTAAAACAGAATGGAGTACATGGGAGGACACCATGGAGGAAGCCATTGCTGTCCAAAAAGAATATTGCAGCACGTTTGAAGTTTGCAAAAGAGCACCTGGATGTTCCACAGCACTACTGGCAAAATATACTGCGGACAGATGAAACCAAGATTGAGTTGTTTGGGAAGAACACACAACACTATGTGTGGAGAAAAAAAGGCACAGCACACCAACATCAAAACCTCATCCCCGTTGTGAAACATGGCGGAGGGAGCATCATGGTTTGGGGCTGCTTTGCTGCCTCAGGACCTGGACGGATTGTTGTCATTGATGGGAAAATGAATTCCAGAGTTTATCAAGACATTTTGCAGGAAAACGTACGACCATCTGTCCGCCAACTGAAGCTCCGCAGAGGATGGGTGATGCAACAGGACAATGACCCAAAGCATACAAGTAATTCAACAAAACAATGGCTGCAACAGCACAGAATACGCCTTCTGGAGTGGCCCAGTCAGAGTCCTGACCTCAACCCGATTGAAATGCTGTGGCATGACCTTAAGAGAGCGATTCACACCAGACATCCCAAGAATATTGCTACACTGAAACCGTTTTGTGAAGAGGAGTGGTCCAAAATGACTCCAGATCGTTGTGCAGGTCTGATCTGCAACTACAGGAAACGTTTGGTTGAGGTTATTGCTGCCAAAGGAGGGTCAACCAGTTATTAAGTCCAAAGGTTCACATACTTTTTCCTCCCTGCACTGTGAATGTTTACATGTTATGTGCAATTATTAAACCATGGCAACATCTAATGTTTGTGTAGTATTATGTGTTCAGCAGACTGTGTTCTTCTACTGTTGTGACTTAGATGACGTTCAGAGCACATTTTATGCCCAATTCATGCAAAACTCCACATAATCCCAAGGGGTTCACATACTTTTTCTTGCAACTGTATAATCTTTTTTAGGGCATATGCCATATAACCAAACTCCTTAAAGAGTAACTTTTGTTAAGAAAAAAACACCTCCTTTTTTCCTCTGGGTGAACAATGTACATTGCATGGATTTTAACATACTTTGGGCATGTGTTTCCTATGGGGGAGATTTACTAAAATGGGTGCACCCAGAATCTGGTAGAAAATCAGCTTCTAACTTCATCTTGTTCAATAAAGCTTTGTCAATAAAACCTGGAAGCTGATTGGTATCTATGCAGAGTTGCACCAGATTTTGCACTCTCCAGCTTTGGTAAATAACGCCCTATGCGTTTCTGCACTGAAGAAAAAGCTGTTTTTGTGTACACAATTAATCTGAATGGTAGTGACTTTTTTTTAACCACTTGCCCTCCAGAGGATTTACCTCCCTTCCTGACCAGGCCTTTTTGTGTGATATGGAGCTACGTTACTTTAACTGACAACTGCGCGGTTATGCAATGCTGTACATAGTTACATAGTTAGTCCAGGCTGAAAAAAGACAAAAGTCCATCCAGTTCAACCATAGAAAAAAAAAAGTCATAATTCTACACCCACAGTTGATCCAGAGGAAGGCAAAAAAAAACCCCAGCAAAGCACGATTCAATTTGCACCTGCTGGGGAAAAAAAATTCCTTCCTGATCCCCTGAGAGGCAATCAGATATTCCCTAGATCAACTTTACCTATAATGTTAGTATCCAGTTATATTCTGTGTATCTAGGAAAGAATCCAGGCCTTTTTTGAAGCAATCCACTGAGCTGGCCAGATCCAACTCTTGAGGAAGTCTATTCCACATTTTCACAGCTCTCACTGTGACGAAACCTTTCCGTGTTTGGAGATTAAATTTCTTTTCCTCCAGACGTAAACAGTGCGCCATTTTCCTCTGTGATGGCCTCAGGGTGAATAGCTCTACACTGAGTTCACTATATGAACCACTGATGTATTTATACATGTTGATCATATCCCCCCTTAATCTCCTCTTCTCAAGAGAGAACAAATTCATTTCCTCTAATCTTTCCTCATAGCTGATCTCCTCCATGCCTCGTATCAGTTTAGTTG